AAAGGCCATCACGGCATTTATTGCCAAGGATTTGCGACCTTATTCCGTCGTGGAAAATCAGGGATCTCGAGCACTGCTGCATACACTGGAGCCCAGATACACCATCCCATCCCAACGCTATTTCACCGACACTCTACCATCAAACCAAAACAGAAGTCATGGCCTCACTGTTGAAGGCAGGCAGGTAGGGTCGCAGTTACATGTGATGCGTGGACGTCTGTCACCACCGAATCATTTGTTACTCTATCTGCGCATTTTATCTTGTGATTTAAGATACCTGTTGTTACCTTTGGTTCCGTACAACGAAGTTGTAACTTTCCAGTTTGCACGCATTTCCATTTATATGTTTAATAAAATATAATGGAAATGAATTCAACTGTTTCTTATTACAAATGCACTGTTTTTAAAATTGCAAGTGTTGAATGCTTATTCAGTGAGACAAAAAGAAATGTGTGTTGTGAAAAAGTGCATCAATATACATAAATTAAAGATGCATCAATAATCGTTTTATAATCGAATTGTAGCCCCTGAATTGTAATCGTTATCGAATCGTGAGGTGCCCAAAGATTCGCACCCCTAATTTTAACAGACAAAAAAACTACAACAACAACAACAACATTTAAGTACACAGCCTGCTAACTTATATATGGTAGAGGAACAAATACTGTAGAACTCCATAGCCCGGGCTAATTTCTGCTTAAATCACTGAACTCAACAGGCCTATATTTGGGACAGGCCTTTAGTTCCTTTCACAACCAATATGTATACTATTTGTATAAAAATGAGGTTTCAGATAATATATCAATTATGAATCATTCCTTTGATCTAGCTCTGACAGACAGTGCATCAGTGAGAGAGGCAGTTTCAGCACCCAAGGATTACAGCACCCAGCATACCAACACAACATGACTTTGAAAAATTACAGGGTAATCAAGGAATGGACTCAGCCAACAACCTGGTTTTATACATCCGAAGAACTTCTATAAAAAACAAACAAAAAAAAACTGCTTGGCAACCAAACTAATTGAGACAGGCCTTTATCTGTCAGAATGTGTAGCCACACCGGGCTCATAAAAGGGACCAGGCCTTTAATTGGGACTGAGCTTTTAATTGAGGTTTTACAGTGTAAATGAAAAATAGCCTGATCAACAAAATCTGAAAGTCTACAAAATCGGGCAGATGCAACACTTTGCTTCTGAAGCGCTCCGACTGTGGTGTTAGACTGCGGAGAGCTGCATCTGGTGGACCTGACCCTCCCAGCTCCCTTACAGTCAGATGGCATCAGAGATAACAAAATTGGTGATTATTCATTTTGTCATGTGCCAAACTTTATTAGGTTACAAATGACCAGGTATGGAATGAATCTGCAGATGCTTTAGTTCACAACGAGACCAAACCTTTCAATGGATGTCAATTTCAAGACATGACGAAGGTTAAAACAACAGACAGTAAGGCTTGTTGTTTTTAGCCAGGCTGATTTCCGTAAAACCTGCGCCCCCCACCAGCCGGTTAGGAGGAGTGAGTGTAGCTCATACCCTGGGCTACATGTCAGAATATCTCGGCCTCTGCTGCTTCTGTTTTGCACAAACTCTTTTAGACAAAAAACTTTCTCTTGTGAGTTTCCCAACTTCATTTTGAGCAGCAATAAATTGATGGAATACACCTTTAAATTCAATCTCTGTGTGTTCTGTGACCTGTGTTCCACCCCATCACTGCTTCATCAGTACACATTTGTTGCCCGAGGACAGGATGTACAGTAAATGCAGACTTGTGCATAAATCATCAACTGCATCGGAGCAGAATGAAATCAGAGAAGAACAGCAGCACGCAGACTGAGGGACTGTGAAATGTACCTCGTCTTTATCTACTAACTCTTAAAAGGAGCATGATTTCAGCATTTACTAAAAAGTCAGATTTCCCATGACAGAGAGGCTGAGCCAAAGCTCAGTGGTACACATTACATCCCTCTGAGGGGTCTCTCCCCTGGCACAATTTAATGGCCAACTTGGCTATTACAGCCGACTCACTGTTTCCACAGATGTCCCAATGGCTTGGCACATGGGCATCCATGCACATACACACACACTCTCCCTTGGCACAATACGCTTTTTGAGGCGACAACATTTATATAAGCCAAAGAATGGCCTAATGCCTGATGTCGGTGAGTTTGCATGCGTCTGTCGGCATGGTAACATGTATGTTTTGCATAGTATGCCGACTGGATCTGTGTGTGTGATCAGGCCACTGTGGCCTCAGGCCAAAAAACCCTGACTGATGTGTTTATTACACATCAACACAGAGCAAGGGGAAGTCAGACAGAGAGCGGCGAGGGAATATCCGCCGAGGTGTCTACCTGTCTTTACTCTGTAAAGTGAGCAACCCAAGATACTACCTAACTGCATGAGCCATAACAAATATTTAATGAGCTTCATCTTGAAGTGGGCTCGCAAGTCAGAGAGGAGCTGAAATCCACTTTCTCTCCAGTAGATTATTTATTTCAGCCACACAACAGAATAGCGTTGATCTCGTATTGTGGCGATTGTGTTTCAGGATAAAATTTGAAAAATCTTAAGGAATAAGAGCTGGAGTTAAGGGAATTGGGCACACCAGATTTCATGGATGATGGGAGGAACAAAAGTGGATTTTCTGCACCATGCTCCTGCACTCAGGGGGTTACTAAAAGAGCCTCCATACCTTTGGCAACCACTGAGTCCAGATGGTGGGAATCTGGAGCATTGGGCGGGAGGAACGGAGCGATGGTGAGGAGAGCGAGAGAAGGAGGGATGGAGGATGAAAGGGAAGGAAGGGGAGTGGAGGCAGGAAGAGGGAGGGAGGGAACATGAGCAATAGCAGGCAAAACCCCAGCCCTGTTGAGAAAAACAAATGGCTGGAGGGGACTATCTGCTTCTGTCTCTCTGCTCTACCTGTTTCACCAGGGAGGACTGATTTATGACACGCACAGGGGGGTGGGGGTGCCCATCTTTCTCTCCAGGCAAGCTGGAGTAGGGACGACGATAGAGAGGCGTTTAAAAACGAGAAAAATGAAGAATGAGGGGATGCAAACATGGACACAGAGTGAAAGAAAGAGCAAGAGAGGAGATAGAAAAATCAAGTGCAGCAAAGGTACGGTTAGACGACAGCACTAGATGGAGTGAAATAGACAGTATCAAAGAGGAGAATAACCTAAGTGGCAGAGGATCAAAGTGACAAATACTCCTCCTGTGACCCTGCAGCTCCTGTCTCTAATGGGAGGTCTGGGAGATTGAAACCTTGGCCAGAGTTCCTGCGGTCACTCAACGCGGCCAAACTAATTTGGTCCTGTCATAACAACCAGCTAGGAGATGGACACTTCCAGCTCTTGATGAAAAAAGGAAAAGAAAACAAAAAAAAAAACAGGCAATCTAAAAAAATAGCAGGAAGGGAGTAAGTGTGTATTATCTGAAAGAACAGGTTTACTACCAGAGACAGAGAAAGAGCCGGCATGATTGACGTTTCCCATTCAGATTGGCGATCTATTCTTTTTTTTTTTAATTAATTGTCTATCACAAACACAAACATCCATGCCACTAAAACACAGTGTGACAAGGACTGTTATATGTTTGACGAGCCAATTTCAGCTATCCAAAAAAGTTCACAGCAAACACTCTTATTACCAACTGGAGTGCGGACTGAAGGAGCTGTTGCAGAGATGCAGATGTGTGGCAACAAAATGGATGCTATCACATGCAGCTCCAAGGTAACAGAAACACACCAACAGCCTGTTTTGTACAGTAATGACTGCATGGAAGCGAAATATTGTATGTGAATGGTTGGGTTGGGCGACTGGATGAATGCATTGGCTATTGGTGACTGGGGATTATATCACTGTTTCTGGGGGATTCTTTGTCATTTTATTTTGCTAATTTATTAATCTGCCTCCAAAAAACAAGGGAGAGCCCCTGCTCAGCTGGCAGCGAGAGACAGTGGGGTAAACCACCAAGTAGAGCCAGTGTAGTTTCACATCTAACTTGGTGAATGTGTGGCCATCAAACTGTATAACTCCTCCCCCTTCTGTAGGGAGGAGTGTGACCATATTTGGATGAGAGGCTGGGGCTTTGGAGGAGCGATGGGTGGATCTGACTGTGAACCAACGATACCGAAACCCTTAAGTCCTATTCGGACGGGATTAGTTTTACACAGGGATGTGGACTAATGTCAGTTTACCACAGGATGTCTGTAATATAAATGTCTGCCGGGGCAGGACAAGAAATCTCCGTAATTCTACCAGAGATGGGAGTGGTAACTGGGTTTGCGCCCTGGCGTCACCTCCCTGTCGGCATATGCGTGCTACGTTGCTTCCTGTATGTGTAATAACAAAAAACAGAAGTCTCGTGGCCCTGAAAAGTGCTTTCTTCTCCACCTGTCCCACGTAGGGCAATGCGATAATCACTATCACAACTGCCGGCAACACTGAATGCTTCTTCAACAACTCCATCATCAAAAAAACAGTTGGTTATAAACAGGATGTGACGCAATATTTGCATACATTTTTACAGAGGATCGCGTTCGCACGGGATTAATATTACCTGAGGTATTTTACAGAAGGTAAAAGTCGCCGTAATTTTAACTGACATTTTCCGTAATGATTACAGACATGGTGCATTCAGACGGGACTAAAATTCCTGGTAATAATTACTTTACCCCACGTCTACACGTTAAACTAATCCCATCCGAATAGGGCTTTAATTTATAAAATGAACATCACGCTGTATGAAAGAAGACTTGAACGTAGAGATTAAGACCATAAACCCATTAGAAAAATGTTCACTGAGGTAACAGATCAAGTGAGAAATAGGGCCATTTTCTCAAAAACAATCATACTTCTTTTTGCAACCAGTGGAACTGCCCCCTGCTGGCCATTAGGAAGAATGCAGATTTCACTCTGAAGACCCGGAGATAACAACCTGGCAAACAATCAATGACTAAGAAAAATAAAAGTCTTAACTGCAAACACTCTTTACCTGTAACCTGGAAGGTGCATTTGCCCGCTCCAGCCTCGTTGATGACATTACAGGTGTATTCCCCCCAGCCGTCTCGATTCAGGTTGCGGATGGTGTACTCCGTCTCGTCTCTTTGGGCATCAAAGGCTCCGGCGTGAAGCAGTCGGTTTGATAGGAGCCACTCGAATCGCAACACACGGGAAGGGTGGGCTCGCAGCACTCTGCAGGTCATCACCACAGGCCTCCCCAGACCCTGACGCATCTCCATGTAAACCGGCTCCACCGTTGGAGGGTCTGAGTGGGAGACAGAAGGACTCAGATGAGTTCAGCCAACATTCAATAGGGACAGAGAAGTGTGTCAAGGATGTCAGTGCAGTGGAAATATGAAAGATTATGAAATAAGGGTTTTTATAAAGAGGGCAATGAAGAGAGAAAGAGAGCGAGTGGGAAGAAAGTACATTGACGTCTATAGAGGACAGACGGTATTCAGGTGAAGATGCTCTCAGTCAGACCTGGCTGTCTCGGATATTTACTCAGAAAAGATATCTGGAAAACACAATAAAGAAAAAATCTAAACAAGGACATGTTATAAAAGTATGAAAACAAATGTAAAATGGCTCTGAGCAATGTGCTCGATACATATCGCAGACCTCAGAAGGACAAAGCTGGCAAGAAAATAGAAGCTCTTTGAATGACAACCAACACATTATTTAAATCATGCACAGACGCTGAAAGGAAGAGAAATACTTTAGAGGACAGTCTAATATGACTGGGAGTGATGAGCCGGGGGAAGAATAAGGTGATATTGAAGCATAATGTAAGTAAACTTTAAACAATCTGCACGGCAAAGTCGATACACCTCAGCCATAAATGAAAAGTGAAAACAATTGCAGGGAGAGCAGGTGCAGGAAGATCAATTTTGCAGAAAAACCAGAACAATGTTCTGAACGAAATCAGTCACGCTTCACAGGAAAATTGGTAAGAGGATGATGAAGTGCACCTCAAGCTTTCAAAATGGAAAATTAATAACTCATTTGAGTATCTGACATCCTTCACCTCTTCCCCCAGACAGACAACCTGCCGGTGAATTATGTAGCCGGGCGTCTCAGAGCCAAGCGAGGGGCTGAATATGACCTCGATGCGACCTAGAACCCTTCCTCTTCAACTTCTAATATGCACGATTATATATTTTAGCTTCTGTTAAATGTGCGTTCGATTATATGCATGGTGACAAAATTTGTGTGGACAGGATGTGTGAAAGCGTTTGCGCCGAAACAGTTATGAATAATTTCCCCATCTCAAGCATCTTTGCTCTTGACACGCTCATACAGATGCTTGACAAAAGTCACGGCGGGGCTTGAAAAACAACAGAGAATGCTGAAGAGAAGAGACAGAATGACACAGAGCGCCGTAATTGCCTGAAATTAGCATATTTCCTGACAGAGTAAAGGAGAGGCGGGTAGCCACGGCCAAGGTTGGGGATGTTACTTTGCAAAAGTGTAATATGTTACAGATCACTGATTACCTGATTGAAACTGTAATCTGCAACATAATCTTCTATATTATTCACACGCAGTAATATAATCTAATTACTGAGCCCTCTGAATTTGATAGGATATGCAATTAAATGAGCAGTTTATTAAAATTTACAGCATATAATTTGATAACACTATTAATGCAATTATCTAAAACCTTAATCAGCCATTTAAAAAAAAATGGGGATGATGCTAAAATCACACAAGCTAAATCTCTTTAAAGGGGACCTATTATGCTTTCACATGTTTCCTGTTTTATATATAGTGTTACAATAATAGATTAAACCAGTATCAAATAATGTGGTATTTAGAAGTAATCCTTGTGAGCAAAAAACACAAGTTTCCTACTGTTGTGAATACTTCGTTTCAACATTTTATTCAACTCTGATTACAGTATGAAATCATAACGCGCCGGTGTAAGTACCGAATGTGTACGGGCTGCCAGATTTGTCCGGGGTCCCGCACTAACTGAAGAAGTCACGCATTATGATTGGCTTTATGGCAGTCACAAATCCTGATTGGTTGTAGCCCTGGTTGTGGCTGGAAGTTTGAGGAAATGGTTGTAACGTTAGAGAGTTTGAGGAGAGAAATAAAAATAATAAATCGAAAGTTTTCTCTTCAGCTGTATGCTGAATGAAGTATTAAAACATTAAGCTGACAAGCGGCAAACATTAACGACATCGGCTCGGTTCAGATTAGCCTTCTTTTAAGTTAGCATTAAGCTAGCGGCTAATAAAAAAAACGGCTAAAAAGAAGAGAAATGCATAAGAAACATAAGAAATTACTGTTAGATTGGCTCGGGTCGGAGGGCGCCCCACAAATCAATGTACAATGTTTCACAAATCCAGGGTTAGTGTATCATACACTATATTTATGTGTAGGCTATATGTATACAGTATGAAAAATAAATAACCACAACAGCATGTCATTGTAACTGACTTTATGTTGTGTCTTTCTTTGTTTTGGGACCCTGAACACTGGCTGCACTGACCCTTGGAGCAATGCTGTTATGCTGTCAAATATGTTCACGTTTTTTTTATTAGCCGCTAGCTTAATGCTAACTTAAAAGAAGGCTAATCTGAACCCAGCCAATGTCGTTAATGTTTGCCGCTTGTCAGCTTAATGTTTTAATACTTCATTCAGCATACAGCTGAAGAGAAAACTTTCGATTTATTATTTTTATTTCTCTCCTCAAACTCTCTAACGTTACAACCATTTCCTCAAACTTCCAGCCACAACCAGGGCTACAACCAATCAGGATTTGTGACTGCCATAAAGCCAATCATAATGCGTGACCTCATCAGTTAGCGCGGGACCCCGGACAAATCTGGCAGCCCGTACACATTCGGTACTTACACCGCATTTCTATGGTCATGTGGTCCATGCACCTCACTGCCTGGAGCAGATGACCATACACATAGCCTACACTGCTTCCTGCTGGAACATGTCCCATTGTGTTGAGAAGCTTTCATTGGTGATTTTCACGGTAAAAAGTGCAGCTACTCTCCGTTACAGTCATTCTCTGACTGCAAGTACACAGCTAATGTACATGTGCTACATGCTAACGTCAGGAGAACATATAAACTTGGTTGCCAAATTAAAAATTTCTCCCTGATTTTGAATCATATTCCTGCTGGAACATGTCTGGTTGTGTTTACAAGCTTTTATTGCTGATTTTTCTTGGTACAAAGTGCTGCAATTCTTCATCACAGTCATTCCCCAGCTGCAAGTACCCTGCTAAATAGCTAAATGCTTTTGGGAAACGTGCAAACGTGGTTGCTAATGTTGTAAATTTCTAACCAATTTCAGATCATATCTCTGCTGGAACATGTCCGATTGTGTTTAGAAGATTTAATTTGTGATTTTTTGTGGCAGAAAGTGCCATTTTTCTCCCGGGCTGCAATGACAGCGTACAGACACGGAGATGAGGAGGAAGTAGAAACGCTGACCAACTCGAGTAGACTGGTCCTTTTTCTTTCTAATAAAATACTCTCCCAGATAATTTTTTTGCTGTGTTTTTATGTAGCTAACTAAAATTGTGTTTTTCTGTTGCACATAATTGAGTCAACCTCAGGACGGGCCGTAGCGCAGGGCAGGTCCTTCCGGCCAGGGAGGTGCACTGGGAAACATGTGGGCTGTAAACACCATACTGTATGCAAATTAATACATCAAAATATCTACAATTCAAATTTGAATCTCACTTTCTTGCCCACTATGGTGATTATCACACAACACACACAAAACCTGAAGCTCACAGCAGCTGCTATGACTAATGACACCCCATTAGACCAGATAATGACTGGCTGAAATGTGATAAATAACAAATCATAAGACACTGGAGGACAGGACAGGTAAACGCAAATAATCTAAGAGGTTTTGACGAAGAAGAAAATTGAAAAGCTTGCCTCCTTGACCTGATGCTGGTGGGGAGCAAAGCGCCTTTCTTCGCTAAATGAAACAGCAATCAGTGCCTCCTTCAAATGAGTCTTGCCTGGGCTTTTACCCAAACCCAATGGCTTATCTCTAACTCCAAAAGAAGGGTCTGAATCTCTACTTATCACATTAAAATTGTAGGTTTGTGTGCGGCAATGAATCACAGCCCAGCTCCACAGCCTCACTGAGTGGCACTATACCAAATTGCAGTAAGTGCATTTCCATTGACACAGAAAGACAAATGAAGACAGGGTTTGGGTCTGCAGCAAATGAAAAAAAAATCTGTTATATAACCAAAACATCCTTTAAACAAGGGCACATGCCTCATCTCCCCCCTGTGCATCTCCTGTGAAACAGCTGCCCAGTGAACATGAGCAGAAAGGAGCGAAAAAGGTCCTCTGTGATATTCCCTGAGCAGCGCTCGCCATGGTTAGTGTAGCAGCGAGGGCGGCGAGGGCTCGGAGTTGCTGTAAGTCACAGGCTGAGGGAAAACCCTGTGCACTGGCTGAGACGTAATCCATCATCAGTCACCGGTGGATACTTTGACAGTAATGTGGAGAAAAACAACATTTAGGAGCACAGAGGCCTTTTCCCCACGGTCCATATAGACCGCCATCTACAGGGATGAGGACAGAACAAAGACACGGGTGTACATGGGGGAAATAAGCATGTGCGTTTTTGAGCGTGTGTGGGGGAGGCTGGGGTGAATCTGTGTGCATGCGTGCACCTGCATTTCTGAAACACCGCTTGACTGGTTTTCAATAAACTTCAGCTTCAGTCAGAATGGATTTCATTTTTCTTCCACGTGCTTCGGGTGAATGCATCAGGAGAAGGACATGCGACTCCTGTGGGCAAGCCCGCAAGACTAGAGCGTATTGTACGGTCTGTGCATGTGCACATGGAGTGTGTATGTGTGATTGAATCCCCTCTATTTGATTAGATGATCATTTGGTCTGAGTTGTTTCTCTTTTAGGTCTGCCCCCGTTATAGTCCGCCAAACATTAGTCGACCAGAAAGGTCATTAGTCGGCAAGATTTCACTGGTCAATAAGTCGCAGGAGAAGAACAAAACAAAACAAACAAACAAACAAAAGGTGAAACTCTATCAGGAGCTGCACCTTGTCAAAAATAAATCCAAATCTATATGACTGGAGCATGTGTGACTTTACTTTGAAAGGACAGACACAGGAAGTGTCCACGCTCAGCAGTCAGACAGGAGTCAGGTTAATTTCCAGGGCTGGTACCTGCGGTTATTCCACAGGCTAGTTAATAACATATCGGGCAGGAAATCCAAAGTGTGGGATCATTTTGAGAAGGTGAAGGACGA